ACCCTTGCTCTCTGTCATGCGCGGTTGATGCTGCGGGGCGCAGGCGGAAGGTGGTGCTGCCATAGCACTGCTGGGCCGCCTGGCTGATCTGTGGCAGGCCATAGAGGCGGTGGATGGCCCTGCGAGTGGGGGCGGAGCTGGGGCGGAGCAGGCAGGGGCAGGGGGTGGAGCATGGGCGGGTGGGGGTGGCGGGGAGGGGCTGGTTTTTGGGCACTCGGTCTCTAAAAGGTTCGCCATCACTGGTATAGGGTTTTCTCCCTGTGCAGGGGGTTGGACTAGATGACCTCCAAGCTCCCTTCCAACTCTGTTATTCTGGTCCACCCTTGTGAGTTTTATTTATTTTTTCCTCTAAAAGCCACCCTCACCTCAAATGTAAACCTCTCCTCCTTTCCTGTCACTAGGGCAAGCACTGTATCCTTGATGTATCAGGAAACGCAATTAAACGTCTTCAAGTTGCACAACTCTACCCTATTGCAATCTTCATTAAACCTAGATCGTGGGAGCCTTTGATGTGAGTACTGTCTTCTCCAATCTCCTTTCTAAACGTGGTGGAACTTTTGTCAGAAGAATCATTGGGGGTTCCATCCCGAGTTGGGCTTGCACAAGAATAAAAATGAAATCCAGACAGCTGTGAGGAAAGGAGAATTATTTATTTCCCAAAGCAAAGAGATTTGCCTATGAGGGCAGCTACAGAGAAAGTGGGGTAAAGAGAGATTGTTTTATAGGGGAGCTTGCCTGGGTATAGAAGTGTGTCCGTGCTGATTCTAGGGTGATACTTGAGGGGCTTGGCCATGTACACATGGTGGACCCCAGAGAAGAGGTTGATCAAATCAAGTGATGTGGATTGGTTTTCTTTCTTTGAACTGTGAGGGTTATAATTATGTTCACATTTCATGTATTGAGTTTTGGGGGTTTGCTTGCATCTGTCAACGCTGCTAACATCAGATATTTTTGCACTGACAACAGATGGAAATGTAGCCATCTTTTACCTTTTGTTTTTGGAGTTAGATGATGTTGGGAGGGGGAGATGTGAACAAGAGTCCAGCTAGACATAACAACATTAAACCTAGTGTGAGAAACAAGGTTATTGTAACCAGAGCTGATAAGGAATTGGCCGGGTTGGAGAACTGGAGAGGAAGCCTGCCGCTTCAAACTAATTGGGAAATGTGATTTATGACTGTTAATTGGAGGAGGGAATTGTGCTTTGATATTATGTGCTCAGGGGAGGGGAATTCAGTTTTTGGCTTCGATTATGTAGTGCCGATATTATGCTACTCAGAATAAAGATTCTTTAAGGTAAACAATGCCTCTTTTGAAGAGTTTCATCTGTTGGAACCATGACAGCATCATTTGAAATAAGTGTTTAATTAATACTTGTGTTTTCTGAGAGTTTAAAGGATTTTGGAGGCTGTTAACCTTTTTGGGAGACCTGGGTTGGTTACCATATGATTCCCTATACCAGGGGTAGGCAACCTTGGCTCTTTTATGACTCGTGGACTTCAACTCCCAGAATTCCTGAGCCAGCATGGCTCAGCTTGCAAACCTGTCCCTTTCCCCTCAGCGTGGCTGGCTCAGGAATTCTGGGAGTTGAAGTCCACGAGTCATAAAAGAGCCAAGGTTGCCTACCCCTGCCCTATACAATAGTTCTAACACAGTTCTAACATTTATAAATTCTTCCCCACACTTTCTAGGACTCAGGTCTCCTCCTGCGAGGATTTGTATTTCTGCGTTGCATTCACACAGTATGCATGAGTGTGGAAGCAGAGGATAAATCCTGGTGTTCAAACCCATTAGGGACCCAGAAAAGGGCTAGTAATGTAGCAATAGGACAGAATATTTGTAGCTCCGTGTTAAATTCTGGAGTACTTAGTTCTCTCTGAGTTTGGCTTTTTTTCTTGCAGGTGTTTCATTACCCAACTAGTTAGCATCATCAGTGCTACACTGAAGAAGTACCTAGCTGGGTAATGAAACATCTGCAAGAAAACAATCAAGCTCAGAGAACACAAAGGACTCTGTAGGGATGTTTCATTTATTCATTGTGTGTTTATCTGAGGAACATGGAGGCAGAAGGAACTGGTGTTGTGACCTTGTGAAAAGCTTTCCTCCCCATAAAGGGAAGCAAACAAAATAGTTTAATAGTAATAGTAATAATAACACTGAAAAACCTTTTGCCCTATATGGTCAGCTACAGAGAAAATGGGTTACAGAGAGATTGTTTCACAGGGCAGCTTTTCCTGGGTGTGGAAGTGTGTATGTGCTGATTCTAGGTAGGGTTGCCAGGTGTCCACTATTTGAGCGGACAGTCCACTTTTTTCACATTATGTTCACTATTTTTTTCAAAGCTTTTGAATAAAAAAAATGTCCACTATTTTTTTTCAAAAATAGTGGACATTTTTTTTATTCAAAAGCTTTATGATGAAATGGTACGTAATCTAAAGCTGTACAGTCTACTTTTTTTACTACTTAACACCCCCCCCCCCCGCTTGTCCGCTATTTTTTGGAAGCAGACCTGGCAACCCTAATTCTAGGGCAACCTTGGCTCTTTTATGACTCGTGGACTTCAACTCCCAGAATTCCTGAGCCAGCCATGCTGAGGGAAAAGGGAGAGGTTTCCAACCTGAGCCATGCTGGCTCAGGAATTCTGGGAGTTGAAGTCCACGAGTCATAAAAGAGCCGAGGTTGCCTACCCCTGGTCTAGGGTGACACTTGATGGGCTTCTCACCTAGCTTATCGTGATAGGTTTTTTTCATTCAAGATGTTACTCATATATTCAGACATTCTTTCCCACCCTGCTCTTAGTAATACCTGAAGTAGCAGAGCCAAAGTAAAGTTATTCTGTGTGAATCCTTAGATTGTGTAATAGCTCAATTCAGCAATGTTCAGGTGGGAAATGGAGACACCCCACACACACACACAATTCTGGTTTGCTGCTTTTTCTTTCTGTGTGTTTCATCCATGCTCATGGATAGTTCAGCAAGCAACAGAGTTAGGTCAAGTAGCACATGGGAACTGGTGTGATCTTCTCAACCCAACCTTTATGCATCACAATGCATGTACGGCCACAATTAGCACAAAAGAACTTGGGTCTTTCGCCTTATTAGTCTGACAATTTAACCATTCAACAATATAGGCAGGAAATGTGTGCACAATGTTTTCCACTTGCCAGTAATAATAATTTCTAGAGACCCTGGTAGGATAAGCCATATTTTCCTCAATGACGCTTATGCTGAAATATCTGCAGGAACTACAGCATTATTATTTTTTTTCATTTACGGCCATTTGGGAGTGATATTTATCGCTTTATGTTTATTTCTGCCAAGGGCAAATGAAATGTTGCTTGAATATCTGCCTCTCTTTTACTTGAGCTTTCAAACTGCATTTCAGGGAAATGAATAAACGCCTCACAGAGGAACAGGCCAAGAAAACCTATGAACGCGCCATGAAATTAGAACAAGAATTTGGAGAATATTTTACAGGTATGTTTGAAAAGGTTTCCTTTTTATTTTATTTTATTTTTGCATGAAGGCTAAGGAAGTGCGTCATTTATTCCTGGCAACACTTTGAGGATAAGGAACGAGAAATGAATTATGCAGGTAGTCCTCATTTACTGACCACAGATGGGACCAGCAATTCCATCACTAAGCAGTGCAATTATTAAGCACAACTTCCTGCTGGCTTTCCCATTGACTTAGTTGGAAGACGGTTGTGAAAGTCGCAAATGGCAATCCCATGATTGGGAGACACCACAACCCTTATAAATGTGTGTCAATCGCCAAGTATCCAAATCATAATCACATGTTCACACAGGCTGTAACTTCGAGGACCATCCTAAGTCTCCTTTTCAAGCGCCATTGTAAGTTCAGTCACTGAACAAGTGGTCAGTAAGTGAGGACTAGCTCTAGTATCGTAAATACAGCTATGTACAAGTTGCTTTTTTTCCCCTTGAGAGAAGACAATGATCAGCCTAGCTTTGTACTGTATATTTCTTCTGAACGTTCCCACCTCTCCAAACGTTCAAGCAACAATCCACTCTGTGTTCAGTCAGACTGGATAGATAATTAAATAAAATGTCCCAAAGCTGCTTTTTTTCCAAGAGGCAACTGCACTTCCTTGTTTTTCTTTGAAGACGTTTCGCTTCTCATCCGAGAAGCTTCATCAGCTTCTCGGATAAGAAGCGGAAACGTCTTCAAAGAAAAACATGACCTGGATGACTGAGAATCTCCATCAACCATTAAATAAAATAGATAAATACACCCCAAACGTTAACAGTAAAAATATGCGATGTGCCGTACAGATAATCAATTCAAACGTCCTAGGATCCCAATAAGTTGCGCTGAAACGCAATTACCGATGCAAGAGAATTTTGTAGCTCAGGGTTAATAATAATAATAATAATAATAATAATAATAATAATAATAATAATAATAATAATAATAATAATAATAATAATAATAATAAAGTTGGAAGGTACCTTGGAGGTCATCTAGTCCAACCCCCTGCTCAGGCAGGAAACCCTATACCATTTCAGACAAATGGCTGTCCAGTCTCTTCTTAAAAACTTCCAGTGTTGGAGCAT